CTACCCACATTTGCTACAAGTGCGCTGGTGGCTAAAAAGGCCAATACGAGATAGAAAAGTTTGATTGCAAAAGGCACAGCAGAAAAACTCCTTAGGTGGTATCAGCAAGACATGATGCTTTCTGTGTTATCTTTTCTCCTTGAGAGTGATCCTACGTGAGTTCTCAAAGGAAACAGCAGCGTTATAGATGGTGTGTCTCCAGGCCTCCCGACTGGAGGCCAGAGTAGACCAGTTATGATGATCAATATGGCCAAGGCTGAGATGTTGGTTCAGGGAGTCCTTGTATCTCCTCTTTGGGGCTCCTCTCTTGCAGCAGCCGGTGGCAAGTTCACCACAAAGCACGATCTTAGGGAGGCGGTGGCCCTTCATCCTGGAGACGTGCCCTGCCCAACGCAGCTGTGTTCTCAGCAACATGGCCTCAATACTTGCGACTGCTGCTTGTTCTAGAACAGACGTATTAGTCACATAATCTGACCAGTGGATGTTTAGGATTGTTCGGAGACAGCGTTGATGGAAGCGTTCTAGGAGCCGCAGGTGGTGGCAGTAAATGACCCATGATTCAGACCCATATAACAGAGTAGACAGCACTATGGCTCTGTAAACACTGATCTTTGTACTTTTCTTCAAGTGTTTATTTCACCAAACTCTTTTATGGACTTTTCCAAAAGCACTATATGCCTTTGCTAACCTGTCGTCTATCTCTCCATCAATCTTACTGTCCAAGGAGATGAGGCTACCTAGGTAATTAAACTGCTGAACTGATTTCAGCTCTGATTCGCCAATGGTGATGAGAGGATGATGGAAGACTTCCTGAGGTGCAGGTTGATAGAAAACTTCTGTCTTTCTTAAGCTGACTTCCAGCCCAAAGAGCTCAGCAGCCTCAGCAAAGCAGGATGTTAAACGCTGCAGAGCTACTTCTGTGTGGGTGAACACAGCCTTGTTTCACACCATTGGTTATTAGAAAGGGCTCAGAAAGTGCATTGCCGTATCTGACTTGGCCGCACTGAGCCTCATGAAGTCAGATGATCATTTTAAGGAACTTGGGGGGACAACCTAAATGTTCCAAAATCTGCCACAGACCTTTTCTGCTCACA